AAATGCAATCCCTTCCTAGCACGCCTGCTGATAACAGTGCCTCCAGGTGTGCTTTGGTGACTGTTTGTCTAGTGAAAGCTTTCTTCAGGGAGACCATGCTCTTCACAACCATACCGTTCTTGACGATAGTACGTACACAGATAGGACAAACTCTATTGTCAACTTTGAACTCCTGCTCAAAAGCTGCAGGTCACAGCTGCTAACTTTTCTGGGAAGGCACCCTTTGGCATCAAGACTTCATTGAAGCTTAAAAGAGCACTGGGCTTCAGCTTATGGTGTGATTTATTCAAATGAGATACTAGCACATGCATTTTTTGCTGATTCTCTATATGTGCAAGTAGCATAATCATGTCTTTCATACTGCCTTGACTCTGTCCTGGTTTTGGCTGGGACAGAGTTAATTTTCTTCCTAATAGCTGGTATAGTACTGTGTTTTGGATTTAGGATGAGAAGAATGCTGATAACACACTGATGTTTTAGTTGTTGCTCAGTAGTGCTTACACCAGTCAAGGACTTTTCAGCTTCCCATGCTCTGCCAGGTGCACAAGAAGCTGGGAGAGGGCACAGCCAGGACAGTTGATCCAAACTGCCCAAAAGGCTATTCCATACCATATGACATCATGCTCGGTATATAAACTGGGGAGGAATGGCGCTATGCTCGGTATAAAAACGGGGGGGGGGGGTTGGCCAGGAGTGCTGTGATAGCTGCTCAGGAACTGGCTCAGTATCAGCGAGCAGGTGGTGAGCAACTGCATTGCACATCACTTATTTTGATTATTATTATTTTCCCTTCTTTTTCTGTCTTATTAAACTGTCTTTATCTCAACCCATGAATTTTACTTCCTCCCCCCCCCAATTCTCTCCCCCATCCCTCTGGGGAGGCGGGGAGTGAGCAAATGGCTGTGTGGTGTTTAGCTGCCTACCAGGTTAAACCACAACACTCTCACTCTAAAGTTTTGTACTTTATTTCAAGAGTTGACATGATAGTCCAGTCCATAACACAAGCTTTGCTAGAAATCTAAAGCACTATTACTATTTACTTGATAATACAAGAAACACACAAATCAGGAAAAAAAAAATCCTTACCTTTGTTTCCTGGTTATTTTGAGGAATCCTCTCATTTACTGTCCTGCTCTGTGGGTTGCTCAGATCCTCCTGCAACCCACAGCTTGTCCTCAGACCAAGTGATGTTCTTCTGGTTCAGGTCTCCTTTTCTAGTCATGGTTGGTCCCTCAGTCAAAGCACTCCCCCTGGCTGCAAAATGCTTGGTTCTCTTTTCCCCCCTTTCTGCTCAGATTTTTCATGTTTCTTCTAAGTTTTTTCCTTTCTTCATGTGCTTCCCTTTCAATGTCTGAATTTTTTGATCCGAAATTTACAATTGCTCCAAATTCTGGTGCCCTGGCAGACATACATGGACCAGCAACACCCAGCCTCAGGCATGAGCCAGCTTCCTTCCCTTACCACATGTATGGTCAAAGGGAGAGTCACTAAGATGAGGAAGACCTTACATGCCCCATCTGTGGGATGCAGTCTGGAAGCCCTTTTGGCAGGCAGGAATATACTTTGAAGCATTCTATAGTGCAGCCAATTACCATAATAATAGTTTCATTATTAACTAGAGTTCATAAACTCTCTGTAAACCTATTCCTCAGCTCATGTTTCTTTGGTGCAAGAGCCAAGTGTTAGCTGGACAGATGGGAACCCTAAAGCTTTTAACGGATTCTTTCATTTTTATTTGCTTACTGTGTGATCTCTTCCAGTCACAGAATTATACCCTGCAAGTGCCATGTCTGCAAAGCACCGGGCACACTAGTGACTGCACTGTGAAGTAGCCAATATTTCAGTGTTAGCTTAACTAGAAACAGAGAGGTGATTTGAAGGTCCTGCTTCCTGCAGTTTAATATTAATTATTATTTACCTCTTCACTGCAAGGAAGCACAAAGTAAAATAAATAATGTCATGGTCCAGCATCGGTTACTGCATGTGAGATGGAAAATGTGGCTGAAGGCCTAGCCCATAGCCTGGAGCAGTGTATTCAGAACCACACAATGTATGGTTTCATGGTAAAGGTTTCAGCCAAATCAACAGCTTGTCCTACTCTCCTCCCCTCTCCAGCTGGAGAGCCACCTCCTCCCTTTTGGTGGTGGTGATTCACTGATTCAGTTCACTTGTGTTATAAAGGTGTGCTGTAAGCTCATGGTAAGAAGGCATAAATTTTGTCTGTGTTAAGATTCTAGCTAACATAACTCTTCACTTTATGCCATAATCATTAAGCCACTTCATAGTTTCCAATATAATGTCATGAATTGCCACCAGTTTTCAAAATTTATCACAAATGTGTATTACTTAGTTAAATGCAAGGGAACTTCTACTGAAGTTAACCTTCTAGGGAAGGTCAGTAGTGCTGGATGTGAGTGTCGGGTAAGGCTTCAAGTCTCCTGACTGCCTGTCCACCTTCTGCCTAACTTCTGACTGGAAGACCAACAGCTGGTGATGCCCAGATAGCAGAGCATGTCTTGTGCCTGAACATATAAAATTGTTTCACACAATGGGAGGCGGCACAGATCTTGGAAACTGCCTTTGATAGATTGACTGAGTGCAGTATTATTTTAGACCCCATCCAGATGTCTACAACAAGTTTAAAAACAGTTAAGTCTCATGATTGGGTCTAGATGTGCAAGAAGATAAAGTAACTTTCCCAAGGCTACACACAAGGCAGCTCAGAAGAACAGACAAGTCAGACTCACAGCTTTTTAACTAACCATATTGTCAAAGCCCCTTTTTCCTATAATTTTATAGTGGGGTACCATGCCAGCATTATTAACTTCTGCTTGGTTCTTGCTCTTTTGCCAATTTAAGCTTACAGTCAAGTTTCTAAAAGAACGTCACTGTGTGCTGCTCACATCTGTGGTACAATACCAGCTTTATTCACAAATAGGAAAGCCTTTACCACTAACTACAAGGGTACTTTATTTTTAGGTTATGTTTTCACCCACAATCTGCAGAGTGATCTGTATGTGTGGCATTTGTTTCTTTTCTAAATTTGTTTCGTCAAGGTTTATTTTAACACTTGCTTCGAATAGTGCAGCTTGGCAGTGGCAAGTGTCTGTTTGGCTAGAGTCACGTGCCAGTAACATCCAGGGGCTAGATAATTTCACTTTTGTATGTCCAGTGTAAGTAGTTGGCTTGCACTCATAGCTAAGACTGGAACCGGATGATTTAAAAGATACTGGTTCTGAGTATTTTTTAAAACAGCCTTTAGGTAATGTTACTATGATCATTTACTACCGCCATCAGATTTCACAAGGCAGCCAAAATTAAAGTACACATTTAAGTTAATTTGCACTTGTAGCAAGTGGGACAAGAAAAAGATCTAGTTGCTGTTCTTATTCTTGTAGCTGCAAGTTATGACTACAAACCTCACAGGAGAGACTTCTTAAATGAACTGTTTCCATTGGGGAGCTAACAAAGAATGTATCTCTGGGCTTGACTACTAGTGATCAGTGTCATGAAAATGTTCCTGAGGTTCGAGGTTAATTTGGCCCTTTATTGCCTTTTTTAAAAATCTCCTTGTAAATGCAGTAAAATGTCCTGAGCTGATCCTGAATCTTAAATGGGATTTGGAGCAACCAGAGAGTAAGTTGCCATTAGGAAGTTCTTGTGATCCTTTTGCAGGATGCAGAGGATGTTGAAGGGCTGAGTGCTGTGTTGGTAGCAGGCAGGGAGCAGGACTGGAAGCAGCTCCTCAGCTGTTGTCTTCATACTGGCACAGAAGCAAGTAGAGCAGGGATGTTTCTCGTCTGCACCGATGCAACCTCACGCATACCCAGTGACCAGCTCTTCTTGTAGACAATGCTTTGGTGGATTTTAGCCTATTGAGATAAAGATGCAGAGCAAGGCGTGAGGACTGGGAAGCTGGTCCCCAATGCTGTCCCTGCTGACTTGTTTAACTTCTGAGTGGAAATCTAGTAAAGAGCTCTTCCCTCCCTGCAAGGGCAGTAGCATTAAAAACATGGCAGAGGCAGCTTTCTACAGGAGGATCTGTAGGATCCAGTGGCCTTGTTTCATCCTCTCCCCTTTCCTCCTTTGAGTTCACAGCCTCTTCTGCAGCACTGCTCACTGGAGGTCCTGCACACTGTGCCTTCCTTCCACAGACATGTTACAAAAGAGGTGGCTTCAGAAGGAGCAGCTTGCTGGTTTGTTTTTGTCTTTTGAAGGGCTGTCAGGTCAAAATGCCACTCACCTCAGGACAGAGACAAAAAAAATGCAAGCGTAGGTGCTATAGACAAGCTTGAATGTGTTGCTGGTGTAGCCACCACAGACAGGTAAGTTCCCAGGTAGGAAAGACTTTTGGTGAAAAAGTCTGCATAGCTTCTCCAAGTTCTTCATGGCCAATTCAATTACTTTTTTTTTTCTTAAACTCCCAAATAACATTTAAAACTTGGGGCTTGGTTTGAGGTAAGAGGAAGATGATCTTCGACTTCCTTTGAGTTCATTGTTCCACAGTTTTACAGTGTATATGAAACTGCTTAAAAGCTCTCCTCCAGATGAGGAATGTAAGTCGTTTCTAATTATGTGACAGGTAATCAAGCTTGACATGCCTACTTACCCCTTAGATGACAGCAAGCTTTATTTCCTTAAACAGAGTAAGGTGGGAAACATTCAGGAGTTAAATAGCCTAAAGCCTGCAAAAGTTCTTCATTTCAGTAGCCCTCTGACTTGACTTATCTGTGCTAATTTCTATTACGGGAGTAAGAGTCAAAACAACTGGAGTGTGAAAAATGCCCACGCTTTGGGCTTCACATTTTATTTTTAACTCAGAAGTGTTTCCTCGTTCTCTATCAATCATGACAGCTGTTAGTGCAAGAAGGTGAGAGCCCCTTCTTAGCATCTCAGCACAGAGAAGGGTTTAATAGTGAGAGCTTTGTTCTCCATGTTAAATGCCTGTTGACTTCTTTGGCCTGGAGAAATACTGATTTTTTCTCTCACTTTCTTTACAGGCTCTGCTTTCTTTCCTGGTCGCTGTGCTGAGATCTTTGCCAAAGGTCAAAGCATTGGGAAACTTGGAGTCCTACACCCCGATGTTATCACCAAGTTTGAGCTCACCATGCCATGCTCTGCCTTAGAGATCAATATTGAACCCTTCGTGTGAAGACACGACTTTTATCCTCCTACAGCCGTCCACTGTCACATGCAGCACCCTCTGCTCTTTTGTCTTTCTCTGTGGGGGACATCTGCTTACACCTTTATATTCCAATAAACTAGAAAAACAGAGCCTGGCTCCCTGGGTAAATATTTTCTGTACAGTGCAATTTGACGAGCTTCTGCAGGGTAAGAATGTGGCATCTCGGACTAGACCGTGCCCTCAATATTTTTAAAGGGCAGGGGGGCAAGAAAGAAGTTGGGTAAAAGCCCAGTGTTTTACAAGAGAAATGTAATGGCAGAGCACATGATTAGTTTTCAAAATCAGAAATGTTCCACAGACACAGCTTCATACTGTAACTGATTATGGCTGCATAACAGGAATCTCATTCTTTTCTTATTGCATGAAATAAGATAATTGATTAGAGCAAATGTTGAGTGAATGTGAGCAGAACTAAGGAGTTGAGCTTTTATTCTGTACGGTTGTCATGTGCTCATCAATGGCTGGGGGAGGAAAATAAACTTGTTTCATGAAAACCACAGCTATTTTGTAAGCAAGATACGTGTAATATCTGCTTCCCTACTCCAGACATAACTGTTGATCCTTTATCATTCTAAATTCAGAAAGGGGAGGGGGTGGAATTAAATTTTTTCATGGTTGATGTGAGCCTAGTGGTTTTTGAAGCTCCAAACCAAATTGGGGAAATGCATTTAAGAGCATATGCCAGTGGTCTTTTGCATGAAGAACTGAAAAATATCAAAGCCGTTGTCCGGCTGAAGCTGGCATATTTGGCTGCAGAAGTTAGTGTGGTCCTCCTGCACTCGCATAGCCCCACCAGTGGCTTTCTGAACCCCAGCTGCACAGCAGGGGCCACGCGGCTTTGGGACAGATTTACTTTTCTTGCAGTTTTGCCCCTGACAATATATGAAAACCCCTTGTGGGTCAGTCTTTCCCTCTAGGTGGCTTTCTGGCAGTAGTTACGCTGCAGCCTGGCTCATTGTGCCTCTGCTGTCTGGGAAACCCAGCAGCTCCATCCAGCACGGCGATGCCCGATACCTCCCTCCTGGTGTAATGTCACTGAGGGGGTGGCCAGCTCACTAGGCTGAAGCAGGCACTTTACTGGCTTGCTAATGAAGCTGGCTATCCCTCATTTGCAACATTATAACCATTGCTAATGTTGCAGGCTAACTGTAACAAGTATTTGCATTAGGCCAATACGCTGTGGCTCGTTTCGGTGGCGAGAGCCAGATAGCCCCTGATCCCTGGGGGGGGCGGGGAACTGTCCAAGGGCAGGCATCTGGGTGATGCTGGAGAAGGGTGTTACAATTACTGGTTCAACAAGAAGAGATATGCAATGGTGAGGGTAAGGTAAGCTCATGGTTTGATGAGCTGCGGGTCTGTGCAGTTCCCTGTCGCTGGACCCACGATGGCTTTTCAATGGTAGCCCTGTCAATAATCTTAACAGGTGGGAGTGCAACAGGCAAGGCTTTTTGGTGCAAGTGTTAATCCAGTATGAAAAATGCACTACAGTTACCCATCTGGAAACCCTACGGTTCCCCTCAGATGGAAGTGTAGATTTTAAATATCTCTGCATGACAGATGTGAAATGAGAATATAGCTATTGCCATACGTTGCACGACTGACTCCAGAGCCCATGGAGAGTGAGAAAACTGCAGCTCACATTTTAAAGTCTCCCAAGGGATTAGCCAGCTTGTCGTTTGCAGGATATATCTCTCCGTGATGCCTACACAACTGTAACCAAGCAAGCTCGCAGTGTGGGAAGCAATCTGTAACGCAGATGGTAAGTATTAACCCCCCCTGTTCATTAGTGTGTCATGCATGGGGATTAGGGCAACAATAAGGCAGATCTGCATTTCAGCAGAGTACAGGCATATTTGCGTGCACTAAATATATTTTTCTACACAAGATTTTTTGACTCTTTGGGTGTCCCAATTCTCCTGTGAATTTACTGTCCTTTGAGTGTAAAGACCAGATTAGGCTGGGACGAAAGGCTTGAGCTGCAGTGGTATGTGTTGCGAGGCTTTTAAGGCTCACTTCTTCTTTTTCATACCCTTTGCCCGTGTGTTGGTAGCTAAGTGCTCTACAAGCGGGGCATTAGCTCTGTCCCAGGGAAGTAGCATTACTTGCTAAAAGTAGAGGAGGAGAATCGAGAGAAAAGTTAAAAAGCCTCTTCAGAGCCACCGACCCCTCTCACAGCTAGATGTGGTGCCAGCAGCCTTGCAGAGGCTGCTGTAGCTCTGAAATTCAAGCTTTGCTGTAGTGCTGTGCTCAGGATTAGCTGTGACTCCTGATGAGTGGGACACTTCATACAAGTCTAGCATTAGCGTATTTATTGCAGGGCATTGTCGTAGCCCCAAACCAATTTTCTGATATTTACAGCTTGCTCATAGCGGTATTCAATAATCAAGGTACCTAACACTCAGCTTTGTGCTAGAGAGAGCCACGGTGAGCATTACGATTTTGCTTTTACCCTTTGGTGTAGCTATGGTCTCTGGCAAAGGAAACATTGTCTGCTGATGGTGGTGACTTTTGAGCAATTTTTGAACAACTTTTGAATTTTGAGCATTTCTTTAAGGAAGAGTCAGAAGCTGGATTTTTTTCACTGGTGGTCCCCAATTATTAATTACTTTTGGCCTGTTCCTGCTGGCTGTGGCTACTGGGTCATTGCTCGGGATCTGAACATGAGCACAAAAGGCTGGAGAACTGGTGACAGAGAGGTCAAATCATAGAACCATAGAATCGTTTAGGTTGGAAAAGACCT